TCGGCCTCCCAAAGTGCTGGGATTATAGGTGTGAGCCACCGCGCCTGGCCTGTTTTTTTTGTTTTTTGTTTTTGAGACGGAGTGTTGCTCTGTTGGAGTCTTGCTCTGTTGCCAGGCTGGAGTGCAGTGGCACAATCTCGGCTCACTGCAACCTCCACCACTTGGGTTCAAGCGAATCTTCCGCCTCAGGCTCCCGAGTAGCTGGGACCACAGGCGCATACCACTACGCCTGCCTAATTTTTGTATTTTTAGTAGAGACAGGGTTTCACCATGTTGGCCAGGATGGTTTCGATCTCTTGACCTCATGATCTGCCCACCTTGGCCTCCCAGAGTGCTGGGATTACAGGTGTGAGCCACCATGACCAGCCCATTTTAGGTTTTATGAATATAGCCATGAGCAAAACAAACCAAAAATCTGTCCTCACAGGATTTAAATTCTATTGTAAGGAGACAGACAAGTATAAAAATAAACACTTTTGTGTGTTGGAAAGTGATAAATGCAATGGAGAAAAATAAGACAGGACAAGAGGTATAGGTAGTGCAAGTGTTAGATTGTTAGACTGCACCCTGCCGCCAGTGGAAGGCCTGGGGTCCCTAGCAGGAGGTGGGAAGTTAATGGGAAGTGGTAGAAGGGGTACCTGCGGAGTGCTCACTCTGAGTTTCTTCCTCCGATTTTTTTCAGGCAGCACATGGTCTCCTACAGCGTTCATTGTCAATGACGGGGATGTCCCCGATGGGCTGAACCTTGGGTCGGTGGTGAGCGATGTTGAGACAGGAGTGGTATTTCTTTTCTACACCCTTTGTGCCCACAAGGCTGGCTGCCAGGTGGCCTCTACCATGTTGGTATGGAGCAAGGATGATGGTGTTTCCTGGAGCACACCCCGGAATCTCTCCCTGGATATTGGCACTGAAGTGTTTGCCCCTGGACCCGGCTCTGGTATTCAGGTCTCTGTCCTAGGAGATAGGTGGAGGGGGCTGAACTCCTTTCCAAGGGGAAGATCCTCTGAAGTTATATTTTCTGGCTTGGGTGAGATTCCTTGAAAGAGCATCCTGGGAGGAACACGCTATCAGGGGAGGAGGGAACTTTGCCATTGGCTTACCATTTGGCATTGTCAAAAGGACTTTGCTAGTCCATGCAATACCCTCACGCAAAGTAGAAAAAGGCACTGCCACTTTGGACAAACACAAGCCTGCGCTGGGGTGCACAGTTTGGCGAGTGAGCACAGGTTGAGTTTAAGCTTTCATGTACCCTGTGGCGGGGCCCCCAGTGCACATGTCTAGCTATACACCCTCGGAGAGCTTCTTTTTTTCTTTTTTTTTTTTTTTTNAAAGAAAAAAAAAAGATGTAGGTTCTACATATCTATACCCCCAAAAAACTGGGGTATCCCCTTACAATCCAGGACATGCTCTTATGTAACTACAGCACAATTTTCCAAAACAAGAATGAATGTTATTAATTAGCATGCATCTGCTGTCCTACAGTCATATACAAATTAATCAACTGTCCCAGTGATGCTCTTTAATAGGAATTTGAAGGAATTATTTGAAACATCTCATCTTTTAAAAAGAAGTTTACAAAAAGTTTATAAAGACAAGAATGAGACCGGGCATGGTGGCTCACTCCTATAATCCCAGCACTCTGGCAGCCTGAGGTGGAAGAATCACTGGAGCTCAGAATTTGGAGACCAGCCTGGGCAACATGCTGAAACCCCATCTCTGCAAAAAAATGGCAAAAATCTGCTGGGCATGGTGGAGCCTGCCTATAGTCCCAGCTACTCGGGAGGCTGAGGCAGGAGCATCACCTGAGCCCAGTAGATCCAGACTGCAGTGAGCTACAATTGTGCCACTGCACTCCAGCCTCAGTGACACAGCAAAAGCCTGCCTCCAATAAAACAAAAAGATGATGCATATTAGAGTGGGAAAAAAAGATTCTTCAAATACTCCCCAATAAGACGTTGACAATGTGCAGGAAAAGGTGTACAAAAAGAAAACAACAAGGTGGCTGGGCATTGCGGCTCACACCTGTAATCCCAGCACTTTGCGACGCTGATGCGGGTTGGTTACCTGAGGTCAGGAGTTCAAGACAAGCCTGCCCAACATGGCAAAACCCTGTCTCTACTAAAAATACAAAAATTAGCCAGGCATGGTGGTGCTCGCCTGTAATCCCGGCTACCTGGGAGATTGAGACAGAAGAAGCACTTAAACCGAGGAGGCAGAGGTTGTAGTGAGCTGAGATTGTGCCGCCGCACTCCAGCCTGGGAGACAGAGTGAGACTCCGCCTCAAATAGAAAAGAAAGAAGACCAGAAGGAGGCATACTAAAATGGTGACAGTGGTTGCCTCTGGGAGTTTCCTTACTACTGATCTGCAAATGTGTTTTTTTAACCCACGTTTCCTATGGTGACATAGTATTATTTTTCTAAGGAGCAGAGAATGGGAGGGGAACAATGTTAATAGTAACTATACCTAATATTTAAGAAACCCAAATCTGTCAGATTGAACATGATACTGAGTAAGAAATAAAAATTTTTTTAAATAACCCAAATCTGAAGCTAAAGCATGAGCAGTCCAGTGTATGGCTATCCCAGGCCAAGCCTTCTGCAGAGATTTAAGCTGCTCATGGCTCATGTGTTTATCACATTCAAGGTGATGGACTTGCAGGACAGAGTTGGTATCTCTGAGACCACGTGGCCAGCACAGGCAGATTCAAGACAACTCTACAGAAGAGCAAAGGAGAGAGAAGTCGAGGCATGGGCTCAGCATGTTCATTCATTCATTCATTCCCTACTACCTCCCTGAGGTCTTGGGGGCCCAGCCTTAACCTGTGATCCACGAGAAGGTGATCTTGGACAGGAGGGAGGCACTGGACTCTGGGCAAGGATTCTAGTGGAAAGAAAGAACGGGTTAGCGAGGAAGAGGGAAAGGAACAATTCCACTTTTCATCCAGGCCAGAGCTTAGCAGGGAGTCATAGCTGCCCACTCTTCCTTCAAGAGGACCAGCGTCCACTCCATACCATTCTGCATCCCAAAAGGATTCTCTCCTAAGCCCCAGGAAAGAAACTCACAGCAGCTTCTCCCGTTTCACTCAGCAGAGTGTCTACCACGCGCAACCACAATACAACACGCTATCGACCTGCCTTATCTTCTATCCCCGCAGCAACCCTCGGAGCTGGTGTTACCATCATTCCCATTTTACTCATTCATTCAACAAATATTTTCTGAGCACCTACTATGTGCTAGGCACTCTACCAGGTACTACAGGGTTACCTCAGATCCCCATGACAACCTCATAAGCTGGTATTACCATTGTCCCCATTTTCCTCATTGAGCCACTGAATATTTATTGACCACCTACTATGAGCTAGACAAGCTACCAAGAACTTATATACTTGCATTATTTTATATCCTCACGGAATGCTATAAACATGGTATTACTATTATTTTCATTCATTCATTCATCCAACAGATATTTCCTGAGCACCATCCATGTGCCAAGCACCCTACATACAAAGCTAAAATAACAGAAATGGCCCCTGCCTGGATGGAGCTTGTGGTCCACTGCAGTAATCATCAGTGATGCCTGCCAAGATTCTCTACTGTTAATAGCAAGCTCTAAGTGCTTTACACAAATTGCCCTATGTAATCTTCATCCCCACCTAACAAGGTAGGTCAGAGTATTATATCATCCTTGTTTTGCAGTTAAAAGAAACTGGGGACCAGAGATGAAATGATTTGTTCAAGGTCCCACAGCTAAAAGTGGCGAAGACAGGATGTGAGCCCTGAAGAGTCAGGCTCCAGAGAGACATGCATCAAGTGATCACATGAACAAATGCAAAACTGCGACTTCTGGGCCGTGATATGTGTCCTGAAGGTAGAAAAATATTACCAATGAGACAAAGTCCACACATGGGGGCTGATCTGACATACTGAGGTCAGAGAAGGCTCCCCCAAAAAAGACAGTCAAGCTGGCACCTGAAAGATGAGTAGAGCAGAACTAAGTAACAAAGAAAGGCAAGGCATTCCCAGCAGACAGCAGTGTGTGCAAAGGCCCGGTGGTAGGAGGAAGCATGGCAGACTCCAGGAACCAAGAGGGGGCCCGAGCAGTCTACACTGAAGGTTGTGCACAGTCTACACTGCAGGCTACATATTTTGGTATTCATTCTAAGGGCAAGGGAAAGTACTGAGAAACTCTAAGCAAGCTACCAAAGAGCTTATGTCCCAGAGGCACGAAGATGAGCCCCAGCTCAACATACAGGCAAGGAAAGGGACCGACACAGAGTCCTAGGGTGACAGACCACGCCTGGCTTTCAACACAGATGCATTCGGGTCAAAATTCTGAAACACAAGCTTTAAGCAGGAGAGGAAGAAAAGTCACCATGTAGCAATGAGAGCTTTAGCCAAGGACTCCACTCAAAGTCCCAGCCTTGTGCAGAGATAAGGCATTTCCAGAGCCCGATAAGGCGGCATACTCTCCTCAAGTGGTTTTCCATTCAAGGCGGGGCGTGCTTTTTAAAAGATACTGTAACCTGGCGGAGTGTGGTGGTTCACGCCTGTAATCCCAAGCACTTTGGGAGGCCAAGGCAGGCGGATCACTTGAGGTCAGGAGTTGGAGACCAGCCTGGCCAACATGGCAAAACCCTGTTTCTACTAAAAATACAAAAATTAGCTGAGAATGGTGGCTCACAACTGTAGTGCCAGCTACTCAGGAGGCTGAGGCAAGAGAATTACTTGAACCCAGGAGGCAGAGGTTGCAGTGAGCTGAGATCCCACCACTGCACTCCACACTGAGGACTCTGTCTGTATCTGGGCCCTTTCCCCACCAGGGATTCTGATTAAGCTGGTGTGGGGTGTGACTGGGGCACTGAAACTTTGTTTTTGTTTTACACGTTTCACATTCTTCTTGGAAAAGTGGCTGGGCAGGAAATACGCAAGATAAGCCAAGAACACTGTGTCACACTGGACAGCAAAGAAACTAAGCATAAACAGTATTGTTACAAGGCCCAAGAGCCAAGCAGAAGTGGCACTGCAGGCTAAAAAAGGGACAATCTGAGCTCGGACAAGGAGAGTAAGTGCAACGGGCTGAAACGTGCCATGTATGTTTGGTTTTGTTTTGTTTTGTTTTGAGACTGAGTCTTGCTCTGTCTCCCAGGCTGGAGTGCAGTGGCGTGATCCTGGCTCACTGCAACCTCCGTCTCCTGTGTTCAAGTGCTCCTCCCACCTCAGACTCCCAAGTAGCTGGGATTACAAGCATGAGCCAAGACACTGGGCTAATTTTTGTATTTTTAGTAGCGACAGGGTTTCCACTGTTGCTAACCAGGCTGGTCTTGAACTCCTGACCTCAAGTGATCCACCCTCCTCGGCCTCCCAAAGCGCTGGGATTACAGAAATGAGCCACCGCGCCGTGCCAAAACCTTCCATTTTTACTTAAGGTTTTAATGATTAATTTCACATTATAATGTGAAAGTAATTAGTCCCTAGCAATCTTATCCCAAAAACTGGGGCTGATTATAAAGCACTACTTTGCTCAGTCCCATTTTCCTTCAAATCACCTATTTTGAGTACATACACTAGCTTCATTTTCCACCCCTGTATAGGGGCGGTAAATACTACTAGGAAAAAACCCACAATTAGCACCAGTACAAATTCAAGGTTGCCAACCTGAGCGTAAGCATTGCTTTATAATTTTTACCCATCCCAGGTTACAGTCTGCTATTACCCCAAATGAAATCTCAAATGTCCTCCATGCTGCATAAAACCCACGCTGGCCCCTCAGTGGAAAACATCAACCATGAATTATCGATCTCTTCTCCTTTACCTTCAGACCACTGATCTCTTGCACCGACTGTGCTTATTACCATGTATGTCTAGCATTAGACTGGACTCCTAGAGAAGAGGAACTCACATTCATTTCGTGGTCCCGAGGGCCAAACTCCAAAGTGCAATTAAGGAAAGAAATACCTCCAATTCTTTAGAGTTCTGAATTCGTGTTCCTCTCAAAAATGGCAGTGTGTATTCAAGCTCTGCTTATTTTCCTGATTCAGTTCTCCACCTTTGGGGGTCTTACAAAATAGGCCAGGAAGTCAAAAATGTCTAGAGATTACTCCCACATGGTAATCTTTGCAAATAAAACTCTTAGACCTAACCTTACATTAATAAAAATTTCATGGTACTTTTTTTTTTTTCTTTTGAGACAGGGTCTTGCTCTATCACCCAGGCTGGAGTGCGATTACAGCTCACTGCAACCTCATTCTCCTGAGCTCAAGCAATCCTCCCCACCTCAGCCTCCAAGCACAAGCCGGCATGTGTGGCTAATTTTTTTGTAGAGATGGAGTTTCACCATGTTGTTCAGCCTGGTCTCAAACCTCAGGACTCACAGGATGCTCCTGTCTCAGCCTCCCAAAGTGCTGGGATGATGGGCGTGAGCCGCTGTGTGCAGCCCTAATACCACATTTTTTTTTTTTTTTTTGAGACGGAGTTTCGCTCTTGTTACCCAGGCTGGAGTGCAATGGCGCGATCTCGGCTCACCGCAACCTCCGCCTCCTGGGTTCAGGCAATTCTCCTGCCTCAGCCTCCTGAGTAGCTGGGATTACAGGCACGCGCCACCATGCCCAGCCAATTTTTTGTAGTTTTTAGTAGAGACGGGGTTTCACTGTGTTGACCAGGATGGTCTCGATCTCTTGACCTAGTGATCCACCCACCTCGGCCTCCCAAAGTGCTGGGATTACAGGCATGAGCCACCGCGCCTGGCCATACCACATTTTAATTGTGTGTTGAGGTGGCTGGATTGAAGGAAGAAATGGGTACTCCATTTTCTTTCATTTCCCAGTCCTAACGGGTTTTAAACACACTAATATTAAAGTTTAAATGCCCTAGAGCTGAAAAAGAGATTTAAAAACTTGACAGTCTCACAGTATCTGGTATAAATTGAAGAAAAATAATAAAATGCAAGGTTTGAGTGAATTTTGCATCTTTAAAAATGAAATCAGAATAATCTGAGAAAAGATTTCAGAGATAAAAAGCATGGTTTGCCAAACTTAAAACAGCAATAGAAGTAATAAGTAGCAGATGAAATATTACCAAACAAAAATTAGTAACATAAAAAAATCAGTAAATGAATTATCCCACAACTTGAATCAAAAGGACAAAATAGATTAACAAGACGAAAGAAAAAGTGTTACAAATATACAGATCAACCTTACCAATACTGTGTATAGAAAGAAAACAGGCCCGGCGGTGACAACCTACCCCCGAGAACATGCCTCTCGCAAAGGATCTTCTTCATCCCTCTCCAGAAGAGGAGAAGAGGAAACACAAGAAGAAACGCCTGGTGCAGTGCCCCAATTCCTACTTCATGGATGTGAAATGCTCAGGATGCTATAAAATCACCACGGTCTTTAGCCATGCACAAATGGTAGTTTTGTGTGTTAGCTGCTCCACTGTCCTCTGCCAGCCTACAGGAGGAAAAGCAAGGATTATAGAAGGATGTTCTTTCAGGAGGAAGCAGCACTAAAAGCACTCTGAATCAAGATGAGTGGGAAACCATCTCAATAAACACATTTTGGATAGATTAAAAAAAAAAAGAAAGAAAGAAAGAAAACAGTATTTTTTTTTTGACAAATGGTTATGTGTGACACTGGGCCATGTGCATTTTTCCACATACATTTTAGAACCTGCTGTGATGTTCCACAAGAGTACCTGTTAGGATTTTGATTGGAATTGTGTTGAATCGGTTTGGAATAATGGACATTTTTTTTGTTTTGTTTTTAGTTACACCTGCTGTAATGGGAATTTGAAATCTTTATACCATTGAATCTTCTGATTCATTAACATGATTTCTCCATGTGTTTTGATCTTTAATTTTTTTCTCAATATTGTTATATAATTTTCTGTATAAAGGTTTTGTACATTTTCCAAACAGAATTTTTGAAGGAAAAAATTCTACTTAGAAATAAACTGGCCAGTCACAGTGGCTCATGCCTGTAATCCCAGCACTTTGGGAGGGAGGCCAAGGTGGGAGGATCACTTGAGCCCGGGAGTTTGAGACCAGCTTGGGCAATACAGTGGGACCCTATCTCTACAAAGAAGAAGTAAGATAAGCTTAATTCACAAGAATTAACAAGAAAATGAAAGATACTTCTAAAAAATATTACAGAACTTTACTGCTCATAAAAGAATTGAATAAATACTAAAAGATATTTTGTTCTTGAACAGGATAGCTCTCACATTGATAAGATGTCAGTATCCCCCTAAGTTGCTGTATTTTATATTTTTAGAACGACACTTTTTTGTTGTTGTTGTTGTTGTTTACCTTTTATGATTTCTAAAGTTAAGGTATGCCTTAAAACTGATGACATCTTCCAGGTACTTCTGGCCATGTGGTAATTATGAGGATAGGTTAGGAGCATCTTAACCAATTTATTTTACATAACTTTCCTTTCATTATAAGCACAAGTCAAATGATAATGAAAGGAAAGCTGATATGAAAACAGAAGCATTTAAGTCTAAAGAAGCTCTTTCAATTGGCATAAAACAACTGTGCATCTTCTTAAATTTAGTGAAATAGGCCAGGCACAGTGGCTCATGCCTATAACTCAGCACTTTGGGAGGCTGAGGTGGGAGGATTACTTGAGGCCAGGAGTTGGAGACAAGCCTGGACAATATAGTGAGATGCCATCTCTGGGGGAGAAAAAAAAAATTATACACACACACACACACACACACACACTCACACACACACAGAAAGAGAGAGAGAGAGAGTAAAAAATATGTATATATATATACACACACACATATGATTTGTGAATTTAAAGTAATCTTAATATCTCAATAGGCTTTTAAAACTTGATTCTTACATGAAAGAATAAAAATGAAAATTTTCACAAAAATTATGAAACTGTTCATGAAGGTTCATAGTGCTGTCAAATATTAAAGTGTATGTTGAAGCCAAACCAATTTGAGCATCAGATCACTGGCACAGAGTTGAGAGCACTAAAGAAGCCTCATTTATAGGAATGTTTTGTGTGGTCAACAGTGGTATATGATGAAAATAGTGAATTCTTTAGTAAATAGTGTTGGATGAACTGAGTAGCCATTTGGGAAAAAAGAGAACTA